GAGGATATATAACTGGTTGCTCAAAAATTACTGGCCTCCCATTCCTTTCATGACCTTCCTTGTGATAAAACAGAGGTACCTGCCAAAAATGAACGAAAACCATTGCAAAACGAATGTTCCGGGGCCAAAACACGCAGTTCGAGGTCCCGAAAATGGGCTGTTAAGCACCGAAAGTGGCATTCGACCTCGAAGTGGGTTTCTCAGCCCCCAGTGTCCCTCAAAAGGGAGCAAATAGGAAGTATGCCAAAAATCAGAGCAAACGGAGATGGTTAAGCGGTCCCGAACCGAGGCACACGGCCTGACGGCTCCGAAAACCGGGAACCGGACTCCGAAATGGGAAAAATGGCCTACGGCCACCAAATGTAGCCCACGGCCACTGAGAGATGGTCTACGGGACCTCTCCCTCCCCTCAGGAAAAGAAACAAAGAAAATCGAGCTTGGTTCGCAAACCGAGGCAAAGCACAAAAGAGGGTTCGGAAGTTCGGAGGCAGTGCTCACGGCCGCAACTCTGAAACTTCTGAACGAGCACATTATGTAACATCACCAAGTGCTCAATCAGTGACGTCTGAGTCTTAAGGTTGGTAAAAAATGGGGTGTCTACAGTTGCCCCTCTTTGACAGAACTCGAAAGTCACATGTGACGGGAGTGAATGTCAAAGCCCAGAGACGAACCATTTTTGACAAGGCCGAAGACTTAGACAAACGTACAAAGTAAACAGAGATGTGCCCGCAGGCAGGCCCGCAGGCAGGGGGGGGAAAAATGCAAAGCGATATGCACAGAGCCGGAGGTAACCCAATGGTCATGCAAATGCAGCAAGCTGTAATGAAGCAAGTATTCGCAAATAGATGCAACAGTTTTAAGCAAGAATGCAAGGCAACAACTACATTTCATGCAGTTAGGAATGCGGAGAATTATTCAATCCTCGCCACATCTCACACGGAGAAGATACGATACCTGCGCGATTCGTCTAGTCGCACCAGCCTTAATTGAACCGTACATACAATATCGTGCCTGCAAAAGAGAGAAATTGCGACAAGTACAATATGCTACCAACATATATTTAATGTGATTCCGAAAGTTTGACACATGCAGTGCCGGTGAGTGGATGCATCGCAATGCAAGAGTGGAACATGCGTGACAACGCATGCTCAAGCACAGAAGTATGGTCAACACCAAGGAATGTGCATAATAATGGAAGTATGCGCATGAGAATGCAAGTTATGTGCATGATAGTGCAAAGCGAGCCTAAATCAGGGTGCTCGTTTGTCATGAAATAACGAGTACTGAAATGCGTGTTTCGGCGAAGGCGACTCAATCACAGCCTCCGATCCACTTCCTAGAAAGGCTACAACTCACTCAAAAGGATACACTTTGATTTTGATGAATGATGATGAGACTCATGTCAGATCCCGAAGCTGAAGTTCCGGCGGAACAATTTCGCGACCGGAAGTGTACTTTTCTTAAACTTTTTCAGGTCCCGGGAACTCCGATCTTCCTCAAAATTTGCAGGGAGCTAGGTGGGCCTGTGAGGGACATGGCCGGCCAGTTTTATGGGAAGGGGGAGGTGGCCGGCTGGTTTTCCAAAAAGTAAATGGCTGGCCGGTCGGTTTTCCAAAAAGGAAATGGCTGGCCGGCTAGAAAAGGTGGCCGGCCGGCCATATGCCCAAATCCGAGGGCATTTTGGTCCTTTCACCTCCTTTCTTCATGCTCCTTCATCCCAAGACTTGGAGCCTATATAATGCAGCCGAGATCCTCTCTTCTCTTGCCTCCTACACCACTTTCTTCTCCAGATCTGAGTTCCATACGCGTTTTCCAACGCCCCACGCAAGTTGTTTCTGGAAAAATATTCAGTTTCAAGCACTTTGAAGCGATTAAGTTTCGGTTTCGGAGCTTCTTTTCTCATTTTCGCCACTTGAGGTAAGTTTGCCTCAATATTTGGAAGATTTTCTCGGGAGTTGACTTTTGTTGACTTTTTCCAATTTTGGCTCATTTTCGCTCATTTTTGCTCCTTTTGCAGATTCTTTGAAAATGGCGGGTAATTCTCCCCACGGCGGAGGCTTTCCAGGTGCCGGAGACGATTTTGATCCCATGACTCTACCCCCGAGGGTCCGCCCTTTTATTCCCAGGAGGTACAATCTGCCAGCACATGACCTTCCTCGTGCCGTCTTCCGTCATTTCACTGATTTTGATGAGCGAGCACCCGGGGATCTGCTTCTCCAAGAGCCAGAGCATCACCTCTCCCATGAGGCCCGAGAGGTATTTACTTCATTTTCTGTATTTTTCGTACATTTCAGCACCTTTGCCATGCTTGAACACGCAGTTTAGCTTATGACATAGTACTTTGCTTGCATCCTGAACACGTAGTTTAAACATTCGAATTTCTGAACACTTGGCTCATTAATTAATTGCGAACGCGCAGTACACATTAGTTAAGAGGTGAACACACGGCTCAAACACTGATTTGTCGAACACACAGCCTGAATTCGAAAGTGAACACACAGCCCACATTTTAAATTTTCTGAACACACAGCCCAGACTAGAATAGTCAACACGCAGCCCACACTAGTTGGAAGTTTGAACACACAGCCCAAACTAGAATAGTGAACACGCAGCCCACACTAATTGAAAGTTGAACACGCAGCCCAAACTTCAAATTTTTCTGAACACGCAGCCCAGTTGAATAGTGAACACGCAGCCCACACTGATTGAAAGTTGAACACGCAGCCCAAACTTCAAATTTTTCTGAACACGCAGCCCAGATTAGAATAGTGAACACGCAGCCCACACTGATTGAAAGTTGAACACGCAGCCCAAACTTAAATTTTCTGAACACGCAGCCCAGATTAGATAGTGAACACGCAGCCCACACTAGTTGAAAGTTGAACACGCAGCCCAAACTTAAATTTTCTGAACACGCAGCGCAGATTAGATAGTGAACACGCAGCCCACACTAGTTGAAATTTGAACACGCAGCCCAAACTTAAATTTTCTGAACACGCAGCCCAGATTAGATAGTGAACACGCTGCCCACACTGATTAAAAGTTGAACACGCAGCCCAAACTTAAATTTTCTGAACGCGCAGCCCAGATTAGAATAGTGAACACGCAGCCCACACTAGTTGAAATTTGAACACGCAGCCCAAACTTAAATTTTCTGAACACGCAGCCCAGATTAGAATTTGCATGTAGCTTATTTCACTTCATCGGTACATAACCCATTTCATTTCATCGGCACGCAGCCTATTTCACTTCATTGGCACGCAGCCTAAACTTTCCATTATTGACACATGTATTCATTCTGAATGCAGGTTGGTTCTCGTAGTGTACGGGGGTATGGTTCCACCGCCGCGCGGGACTGGTACGCTGAGCTCCCGGAGGGTCTCCGAGATTTAGTAGACTGGGCAGGGTTCGGGGCCTTCTGCGTTGGGTTGTCACGTTGTTCTGCCAGGAGGACTCTGATGGCGGCATTGGTAGAGAGATGGTGGGACACCACCAACTCCTTTCATTTCTCTGCTACCGGGGACATGACTATGACCCCTCTAGACTTCGCTGTGTTGACCGGCCTGGACATAGGAGGTTGGCCCATCCCCTATGACGAGGACATGGGCGAGTGGGAGGCCGCTTGGACATATCTGTTGGGGGCTCGCCCGGCTGTTGACAGGGTTTCTGGGAGAGTCCGATATACTTGGTTCTCTTCCCACTTCCGACGGGCAGAGATGGTGCCCGAGACTCCTGAGGAGACGGAGCAGTACGCCCGTGGTTTCCTTATGTTCCTCTTCGGGACTACCCTGTTCGCCGATAGAGGGAACACGGTCGGGCTATACCTGTTGAGCGCTCTGGTTGACCTATCACAGGTCAGTCGATATGACTGGGGTGGCGCCGGCCTGGCTACCCTTTACTTTTATATGAGCGCCACGTCCCGCGGGCGGGGAGACTTACTTGGCGGTTACTGGCGAGCCTGGGAGGTACTTTTCTGTCCCTTGATTTACATTTCTGCTCTTCATTACTTGTACATTGCACACACACAGCGCACTCTACGGTCTGTATTCTGTTCTCAGCACTTTGTACTTACATTCTGCACTGCTTTTCTCAGCTATGGGTCTATGTATACTTCCAGCATTAGCCCCAGAGTTGGAGGTGGCAGGGCCTCCCATGACCAATATTCATTGGTATTCGAGGGCCCGCACCGGCCGAGACCCCGAGAGACTCTTATTTATCTGCGACAGTATTTTGACACTGTGCGCCCATCGGAGGTACTTCAGAACTTTCAGTTCTTTTCATTTTCATCTTTGATTTGCTCTGTGTATTCCCGATTTCTGATTGGCTTATGTATTTGTTATCGCAGATCACATGGCAGCCATGGGCACCCTTGGGCGATGGTCTCCGATTTCAGTATCCCGGAGGATCGGGCACCTCCCAGTACAGGTTCCTGCTCGAAGGACCTGTTGGGAGCTGGTTTCTGGGGAACGCTTTCTGCGTGCAGGTATGGGGGTATCTTTCTCAGGATCCTCCCTCAGCACCCCCAGTCAGTATGCGGATTGCTGACAGGCTCTCTTTTTCGGAGGTAGTCGGTGCTATGCTGGGTAGCGATGCTTTATTATATCTCGAGGAGGGGGATTACAGCACTTACCGCCAGCACTTCCCCGTACCCCGATGATGAGGCCTGCTGGTATGTCATCCTCGGGCCAGGCCCGGGCTCGGGCTGCAGACGCCCCTTCTACTAGTAGGGCTGGTACATCTAGAGGTAGGGGTAGATCGGTTCCTCCGACTCCTCCGACTTATCCTCATCCTGGATGGCCAGATATGCCAACTGAGTTGATGGCGTGGCAGTATGGGGCTATCTCTCCGACTCCGATCCCGCTAGAGCCTCCGATGCCCAGTGATCGATACGCCATTGATCCGGACTCACCGCCGGTATGCTCCACTTTTTTCATTCATCATTCAGATGTTTAGACACTCTTCTGTTCACTGATGATTATCATATTTGCAGCCATCGCGAGGGTACGTGGAGGAGGTGGTTGGACTGGTGGCCACACTCGAGGGCATGGTCCTGCGGAGGGAGGCACAGCTGTCTATCGCGGGCATTCAGGTACCCTTCAGTTTTCTGGCATTTATCATACTTCTGATAACATGCTGATTTCTACTGCGTTGATAGACTACTTGTGTAGAGCACATCTGGCACACACCCCACTTGTACACTGTATTTACATGCACCCACCTCACGTAGTCTTTGCTTGTATCTGCATCTGATGTATATATTTGGACTATTGTATTTGAATTGAACTCTTTGTTTTCAGATACCTTCATGGTCCGGTCAGCCGCAGGCCAGGCCACCTGGGCCTCCTTGGGGAGCTGGGCCATCTGGGCCATTTCACGGAGTTGGGTCATCCGGGCCTTTCCAGGGGGCTGGGCCATCCCGGCCTTTTCGAGGAGCCGGGCCATCTAGGCCTTTTCGAGGAGCTCGAGGAGGGCCTGTCCGCAGACGCAGGGCTCACGTTGTAGAGGCGGAGCCTGATGAGGAGGAGGAGGATGTTGAGGAGGAGGAGGAGGCTTCCGACCGTCAGTCAGAGACATCTGCTGAGGAGGGGGGCTCCGGTCTTGGTTCGGGGAACAGAGGCGAGGCTGGGGGGGATCCTGAGGATGACAGCTCCGACTCAGATGATGATGATGGTGCAGAGGTTGTCCCGCAGAAGAGGATGAGGAGTGCTTCTCATTCCCGCTCCCGAGGACACTGATGCTGCTGTTTCCTGCTTTATTTTTCTTTTTGCTAGCAGTTTGTAGCACTTTGCACATTGTTAGGTAGTTTTATTTTTCTTAAAACTTGTACCTTTGTTCGTTGTAAGACATGATGGAATGAAACAGCTTTTAAAAAGGTGTTTGTATTTTAAACTTTTAGCATCGTATCGCATCATTTTATTTTGCACAAAAATGAAATAGAATGGTAATGTGCATTGTGTAATCACCAAGTCAGGTAGTGAACTGACGCAACAAACTAAGCAACTCAACTTACTAAGATATAACGGAACCTTAGGAAGCTTACAACTCAATAAACAAAATGCAATAACGTTGACAACGCAAATAAACAAGACTTGAACAAAGATTGCTTAAACAGAGCGCAATGACTCAAAAACACGAAACACGTCCGCTCGACAAACAACTCGATAAGCAAAACAACAACTCGATAATCAAAACAACAACTCGATAAACAAAGCTTGGCAACAACAGAGTGTACTTCGAACGATCTGGGCACCGGAACGCATCCGAAACAGAGGGAAATGAAGGCCTTTGACTCTCCCGTTGCATGGAAATGCTTGAAACTTTCCTCAAAGGGTAAAACAGGGCAAAGGGGATACACTGCCGCATTGCCGGCCACCTTTGGGAGCCGGCCGGCCAATTTTCTGGAGAGAGGGAGCCGGCCGGCTAGTTTTGTAAAAAGTAAATGGCCGGCCAGCCAGAAAAGGTGGCCGGCCGGCCACTTATTCCTGCAGCCACCTGGTTTTTGACACGTGTCCCCGTGAATAGTGTTTTTCCCTCTATAAAAGCCTCAACTTCGGGAACATTCATTTCATCTTAGTTTTACACAAAGATGGAGGCGTTTCTCGCGGAAAATCCCACATCTTGGATCTCTTCTCTAGATGGCTCGGAAAAGCTGAACTTCCGGGGTTTCGGTTTAAATGCGCTATTCACGCTGAGCCGTACTCCGCTATAGCTCCCTTTTCTCCATGCCGCGGCAAGGTTCTGGAACCCAGTGACGCACGTTTTTAGCTTTGGCGGCCAAGAGATGTGTCCCACTTTCAAAGATTTTCAAGTTTTGATGGAGTCTGAATGCTCTGAAGTGATCTTGCCCCAGCTCCGTTTTGGCCATGCTCAGGCTTTAGGGCGGATGTGTGGGCTCACGGCGCATGACGCTCGATCTCTGATCTGCAGTGGGGAACTGGACATCCTCGGCTTGATCCATCGTTTTTCCAACGCCGGTGACCGCAGCAACCATTATTGTCAGGGTTTCCGGCAACACACCCTCTGCTTATGTTTGTTGTCTCACTTTCTGCTTTCCTCAGGCTTCGGCGGAGCTAGCATCCGTCTGATTGAAGTTGCCCAAGGCTTGAGAGAAGAAAAGAGCTGTATTGCCATGACCTTAGTGGCCGAGACAACTGATGGGCTTAGATTCTGTCTATCGCCGGGAGGCGACTAGGTTTGCTGGGAGTCCACTGCTGCTGCAGGTAGATGTTTCCCACCAACTTACATATAATATTTGCTCACATCACTCGAGCCCTCCAGCTTTGTTTTTCTCACAAAACCCTGTCTTAACTTTTCTCTCATCGTACATACTCTCTGTTCTTTATTCTCTCAATTTTCCAATCCCTCCCCTAGGTATGGCTTAATGGGACAAGTTGCAGGTTGTGGACTCTTGGCCCAGGCCTATTCAGCTCGAGGCTACTTCTTTCGCAAGCGCCTATGTCATGCTCTTTGACGAAAGGTGGTGGTTTGATTGGATGTGCAATTTTGTCTACAGAACCGCATCGCTTGCCGTGTTTCCTTTGGCTCAACTCCCGGCAATGAGCTTAGGTATGTCCCCGTCTGATTGGGATCCAATTGATTGGTCTAACCCACTTGCGTATTCCTATTTTCCGTTCCGTTTCCTGCGTCAGTTCGGTCATGATCCAGAACCTGCCCACCGGAGGGGATTTGAGTACCCAGCCGCTTTCCCCGCGCGTCCGGGGTGCACAGCTTGCCCGATATGCCCACAGCATAGGGGACTAGAGATGCTCCTGGCCCCTGCTTCCCAGCTTTCAGTTGCACTTTGTCCGATGAGTGGCTTGGATTAGCTCAACGATGAGGCACCAGGTTTAGGCCTAGCTTGGGCATCAGATGCTTCGTCCAGCTCTGGGAGGGGACGCAGAGATAACTTGATTCACTATGCCCCAAATTTATTGCTTATTTACATTTTCAGTTTTCTTTAATGAACGTACTAAAACACAACCTCTGATTGTAATGGCAAGAGCAGGAGAACTCTGTTTTGAAATCAATGAATGAAGGTTATGGTACTAAATTTTTTCGCTTTGGTCCAAAATGGTCTTAGTCGTAAAAAGATTAATTTGAACAAAGTTCAACTTTTTATTAAAACTTTCAAAACTATTTTTTCGATTGGGTCAGAACTGGACACGCCGAAGCATTTGTCACTGGATGCACAACCCCAGATCCCGCAACTGGAAAGAGTTGCCCCTAGTCTGAAGAACAATGCGGCAACTTCATGGGCAGCGGAAAGTTTTACCACCTAGTCTGAGTAACTTTGCACCGTCGCGGCAAACGGAAAGTTGCCCCTAGTCTAACAACACTAGTACCGGAGATCGCGATAAATGCTGATGGACAAAGAATGACTGAGATGATCAGAAATGGACAAAGTTGATCGGGAAAATTTATGGCTGAACTTCAGGTGAAGTTGCCTACGTTCCCAAAGATGGGAATCAAGCCTTAACGTAGTCAGGCCGAGGTTCACTCGAGTATTTTTCACTCTCCCTTTGCGCTCTAACTTTTGCCAAGGCCGCCACTTTGCGGGTTTTCAACTTTGGCGGCTCGTTTTTTATATTTTCCTAAAATTTTTTGTGCTCTGACTTTTGCCCAGGTCGCCCTTTCGGGTTTTTCGGCCTAGTGAGCCTCTCAAAGGTAATATTTCTTCAACTTGGTACATATTGGATCAGTTGTGAGACTCCAAGCCATCTAGATCCATCAGGAACCACAGGCTCCACCTGACCCAGATAGCTTTTGATGAATGTAAGGACCAGTCCAATTTGGGTTGAACTTGCCCCTTGGGTCGTGGATGGGAAGCCTCGTGTCTTTGAGCACCAAATCTCCTTCTTTTCAGATTCCTGGACTTAACCTTCTTGTTGAAAAGCCCAGGCAATTCTGCGGTTTGATAAGCCTTGATGTGGTACAGTGTTTCCAGTCTTCTTTCACAAAAGAGCATGAGGTTCTTTGAATGCTGGCTTTGCTGCCAATCTGCTTCGGCTATTTGGCATTCAGGCAATACCTCGTAACGACGGAACCTCAATCTCGATGGGTAGGACAGCCTCATTCCATTTGACCATGAATATGGAGTCGCCCCAGTAGAAGTTCTGATTGAAGTCCGTAGCCCCACAGAGCAAATGGGCAGCTTGTTCTGGCCAATCCGGTAGGTTCCACCATCTTCTGGCGTATATGCGTGATATTCTTGTTGGCGGCCTCAACCGCCGTTGGTCTGCGCCGGTATGTAGATGACTTAATGGAAAGCCACATTGTATTTTTTTCCAAACAATCTACACTTCTTTCCTTGAGTGGAACCATTTATCTGAAATTATCTCGTTTTGGCACCCGTAGCGACAGTGATGTTGTTTCTGATGAACCTTTGCGACGTGCGCCGCCTTCAACACCGCGTATATTGGTGCCTCGACCCACTTGTGAAATTAATCTATCGCTACCTAGGATAAACTAATGCCCGTTTGACCCCTTCGGGTAAACAGCTCCGATCACCTCGATTCCCACAAACCGAAAAAGGCCATGGTGAGTCATGTTGTACACTTTGACGGCGAATGTTTCATACTGCGGTTTGCAATGAATTTGACACTTGTGGCATCGCCGACAAAAACTAATACAATCTGAAAGAATTTACTGTTGAGGCATACCATCTGAACCCTCTGAAACACAACCTTCGCTGAAAAAACTCTGCCTTGCGGGAAAGAAGAGGCCCATGTTTTTGGGTTGCTAAGTGTTTCGGAAGGGTTGTGACAGAATGGCAACAAGTGTTCCACAGTTTCTCTCTCCGCAGAGGCAGAGTTTTTTTTCAGGCGAAGGGTTTGGTTTCAGAGTTTCAGAATGGTATGCCTCAACATAAATTCTTTCAGGATTGTATTGTTTTGTTCGGCGATGCCACAAGTGGTCAAATTCATGCAAACCGCATGAACATTCCGCCGTCAAAGCTGTACAACATGACTTCACCCATGGCCTTTTTTCGGTTTGGGAATCGATGTGACGGAGCTGTTACCCCGAAGGGGTCAAACGGGCCAGAAGTTTTATCTAGTAGCGATGATTATTTCACAAAAGTGGTCGAGGCCCAATCATACGCGGTGTTGAAACAGCGTCGGCCAACGTCGCAAAGTTCCATCAGAAACAACTCATCTGTCGCTACGGGGTGGCCAAACGAGATAATTCAAATAATGGGTTCCCACTTCAAGAAAAGAAGTGATAGACTTGTTTGGAAAAATACAATGTGGCTCTCCCATAGTCATCTACATACCGGCCGCAACCAATAGCGGTTCGAGGCCGCCAACAAAATACTAAACGCTATACTGCAGACAGATGGTGCCGGAACCTCACCGGGATTGGCCAGACAAGCTGCCATTTGCTTCTGGCTGGGGCTACAGGACTTCAATCCAAACTTAACACTGGGGCGACCTCCATATTCTCATCCTGTCTACTGGAACGGAGCCTCGTCTCTCCACTCGAGTGAAGGTCTCCGCTCGTTACGCCATATTGCTGACATGCCAAACTAACCCGAAGCAGCATTGGCAGCAAAGCCCAGATTTCAAAGAACTCCATGCTCTTTGACGATAAGAGAACTGAAAGCACTTGTACCCAATCCAAGGGGCTATCAACGCAGAATTCGCCGGGCTTATACAGACCAAGAAGCTTAATCAGGAATCTAAAGAAGCGAGATTTGGTGCTCCAAAGACAACCGAGCTCCATCCACACCACAGCAGCGGGCAAGTTCAAACCAATC